CCCCCCCTTAAAGCTTGGTTCCGGTAAAGATAGCAAGTGAAATCTTTTTTTTCTGCTGCCAGTTTCAATGAACGCAATTCCTTAGTTTGTACGTTAGTTTGTTAGGTGACCACCCAACAGAAACGAGCGATACATCCTACCAAACTACGGTTACGTCCTGTGTGTAAAACAGCTTTGACAGTTGTAAGTGGTCTCATTAAGAATACCCAGTGTGACGTGAATAGAGTTGACTTTTCTGCCCAAAAGGGATCGATACTTCCCTTCGTTTCATCCCTACTAGCCGGCCAGGGAAAAACGTGATGTTTATTTTTAGAGTAGTTTTGTCGATGTTCTGGGGAAGAAAAAAAAATTGAGACCAGACAAGGAGAAAGAAGAATGTACTAAAAAAAATAAATAACAGAAAAAAAAGAGATTGTTTGTATTTTATTTATTAATCATGAACTATATTTATTGTGTAAAAAAAAAAAAAACAATATTCAATGCATCTATTTGACATTCAGGACTACTATAGCCTGATGTTTAAATAGGCGAGTTTCGAGATTAGTAATGCTGGAGCCAGCACAACGTATAGATTGGAACTCGTACTATGAGTACTAGTCCCGATTCCATCAATGACTAGAATAATAGTGTCATTACATCCCTAATCGTTACTACATAAATAGTAAATAGTATTGTTAAAAAATAGCGTCATTAAAAGTTTTAAAATTACCGTTCGGCATGGTCATTTGAATGGGAGATCTAGTTATAATAACGCTAATGGCATTTATATAGTTTTAGAAAGAGATTAGCTTAAATAAATCAACTATATCATGATTTATTAAACAAGGATGTATGTGTGTAAAATTTTGGAAAATATTATTGTTGAAATAAAACAAATTACAGGTATATTTGACTTATTTCCGAATAGTTTGCAATTTATGTGAAATTGATCGAGTGAGGGAGGGTTTTCTGACGTCGCATTACAAATCAACAGGAGGGCTATTGGCAACGGACCTCTTAATTTTGAGCCACGGACAGGTGACGAGAATGACACCTGACCTGGCACTCCATTTCCACATTGCCGTACCGCGTCAATTGGAGGACTTTGTGCCAAGACAGATTTATCGTGTATTAACCTCTACTCAGCGGGTCTTCCCTAGCACTGGATCTCGAAATCGTGACCATAGACAATAGGCTTCCGCAGCCTTTAATCAAATTTATATGGTTGTTATCAATTTGCAAAAAAATTGATGTTTGTAAAATGTACTGATATGTTTTTAACTTTTAGTCACACGATATATAATTTTTTAATAATCTTTCTATTGGATGCCAAATAGTATTTTTCTTTTAAAAAAAAACATTTGTTAATTAGTTTAGTGAGACTTGGAGCTGTCTTGCAGTTTTTGCTTATATTTAACTCTGATTCTCATAGAATTCTATGAGATTTTCAATAATTTAGTAAATACATGGAACAGTTAGTTTTTGAAGTGTGTGATGTGTGATAATTTCTTCAAATACATATTTTCTTTTGCATTTTTGATCACATTTTTTCATTTTTCTCCCAATACAAAATCTCAATATTCTCCGTAACGCCACTAGTAAACTGATATTATAAAACATTAGAGTGGCGCCAAAGCCATTAAAATTCATACACCGCATAAAAAAAGATCGCACATAAAAAATCACACAAAAAGAAAATCGCATAAAAAAAGAGCGCACACACACACAAAAACAGGTTCTACTGTATAAGAGCATTGCGCACGTGCATTTCAGGTTTCTTCACAAAAAAGGGGTGCACGTTATACGGCGAATATACCTAAAAATTAAAAATTGCAGTTTGAAAGTATAGCTGCTTGTTATATATGCCGGATTTTACGGTACTTAAATTCATGTTAATTAGAATGTATAACTTAAAAGGGGGGGGGGGTGGTTAGATTTCTTTTATAACGAAACAAAAATGTTTTTATCTGCTTTTGTTGTACTTTCTTGATAATTTTGAACAAAAAAAAAATGTTGTAATGTTTTGATATATTCCTGAAAGGTTCTTTCCTTTTCTTAAAATTATATTTTAATACACATATTTTTATTTTAGGAAGTTCAGTTTTTATCTCTCATTAACACATGATCCACCATAGTCATAAAACAAAAACAGAGAATGCTATTAAAAGAAATAATATTTCTTTCAGAAAACATAAATATTCTTTCTCTATAAGACACACGCAGTCATGTTTAAATAATAAGCTTAAACAAGTTAAATACTTAAAAGAAACAAAAAAAAAACAAAAAAAAGATTAAATCAAATAATCTAAGCGTTTATATTAAACATTAATTACTTTATTTCTTTTATATATAGCATAAAACTCTCTCTTTCCTTCTTTCTTTACATTTTCTTTTTCTTGTTTATTGTTGTTGTTTTTGTTGATTTCTTTTCATTTATTTTTAAACTTTTAAGATGTCAATATTAGCTCTTTGTTAATATTTTTCAATTTCCATTTATCATTTATTTAAAAATAAAAGGTATTCTCGCAAGGGAGTATTTTAAATGGTAAAGTTTATTATCTATTTTTATAATTATCAATAAGAATAAGTATATAAGACACACAATTAAAATTTTGGGATTAATACTATCCATCTCTTTTACAAGTTCAAGTCCCTCTCTTTTCTGTTCAAGTTGTCTTGATCTAGTCAAAAAAAAAAAAAAAGGGAAGGAAAGGGAGTGAGATACATTGACGTCGCTCTATAAGCAACATTAGGGATTTCGATGACGGTCCTCGTAATTTTGAGCCTCGTCCAAGTGACAGTGGGGGTTGCGGTAGCCCAGTGGTAAAGGTATCGGATCATGGCAGGCATGTCATGAGTTCCATCCCAGTACCATTAAAGACCCGCCGTGTAGGGAAGCGATGCACGCGTTAAATCTGTCGAGAGCTCAAACGTCCCCCCGTTGGTGTGATGTGGTGTGGCAGTTAAGAGAGAGGGTGCCAGCTTAGGTATCGTCCTCGCCACTTGACCATGGTTAAAAATTACGGGGTCCGTCGCCAAAAGCCCTCGTGTAGCTGAACAGTGCGACGTTATTATTCACTCACTCACCCAAGTGACAATGACGACACCTGCATTGAGCAAGCACCCCCTCTCCTAACTATCACACCAACTGGAGAACATTGAGCCTCGATAGATTTAACGTGCATCGGTCTTCTTTATACGGCGGGTCTTCAGTGGCATCAGGATTCGAACCAACGACACTCCAGCCATGTTTTCTTGACCATAACTTTTAGGCTACTACGGTCACGAGGGAAGGAGAAAGAGAGGAGGAGGAAGAAATTATCCATTTATCCAATGAATTTTCATTCATGAAGTTTTATGTTTTAGTTGAATATCGGTATAATTTGGCTTAAAATAGAACAATACAATGCACACATTGAATACATAAATCCTCGTTAAGCTTTATTGTTTAATCATGGAGAAATAAGATATTGATACTTTGCTCAGGTCCAAAATCCTACCTTATCCATCCAAATGAGAAATTCGATTTTAAAAGGTCATTATTGAACCGAATAAAACTGACTGAAAAGGAAACTGAGAACCTATTTGCAGAAAAATAGAACAATGGATAACTTAACAAAGGAAATGATTATTGATTTTTTTTCTTTCTTAGAAACAAAGGAGGAGCAAAGAACAATTTATTGATAGACAGTATTTACTTATTTTTTAAAATAAAATTTTCTTTTTAATAAATACATATCGATATTGATACTCGAAGGTAACTCTTATTTAGTTTTATACACCAAACTAAACAAAAATAATTGTGGGGCTGATATAAGAGATTAAAAAATAACTTGTTATTCAGATATTGCTTTTTCTTACTGAGCAGCTAAAATTTTATTTTGACATTCTGAAAGCATTTCTAGAATATGAAACAAACCACGAGACTCAAGGTAGAACGATGTCAACAATTCCAAGCATGCCGCTGAACCACCAGGAAGACAACACAACAATCGTTTGTCAGACAAGCATATCATGTGCTGTCATCACGTGGAGGAGTGCCCATGACGACATTTGACGTCTGAATACACATGACGACAGAAGAAAGGGGCCGTCCCGACTTTAATTGATGACGATAGGGCTGCCACTCATTTGAACCAATTCCCTCGACCACAATCCTGAAAACAAAGGCTCTTTAACATTCGGGTCTTCGAACTGATAACCATTCGCCGTTAAGTAAGTTTTCGCAACTCCTGTTCAAGAAGTAG